CTCTGTTACTCCTCCTACATGCTCTTCCAATCCAAATAGTGATGTTTTGGTTTACATTAGCAAAAAATATTGTCCCTTTTCTTTTAGCATGCAAAGTGTTTTAACCTGAATGAGAGTGCAGGGTAAGGGCAGTATAATTGTGACCAGCATTAGTTAGTTAAGCAGGCAGTGACAATTAATACCCCCAAAAAATCATACAATTAGCTTCAGCTCCATAAGTATCTAATGAGCCATTTGTCAGTCTTTTGGTGAAATAAACTACTCTATCTTAATTCTCCACTCTTGCAGCAAATAAATAGAAATTATGAAACACCCGGGCACCAGTAAAATATAATTTATTTCATAGGGCATGACAGAACTCTTTACATCTCTAAAATGAACATGTTATTTACAAACGACTTGTGATACTAATATATAAAAAAGGATTTTAGCGTTAACTGCTTTCGTTAGGCGGTAGATATTTTTTCCTGATTTGTTTAATCATTTAAATGTGTAATTACTCCTAAAGGCATGAGAGCTAAAATGACTATTCCTGACGTGATTAACTCATAAAGTCACAATGAACCTCACAAGAGAACCCAGGAAATGCCAGGGATCAGCATTCTGCAGCTGAAGGCATTAAGAAATTTCTGGAAAGGACAAAGTAATTATTTTCATTATGGAACATTTCTCAGCTTGCTATTTCTTTCTGGCCTCTTTAGTCTTTTCGACATGAAAATCATAAGCCAAATAGGAAGGAGAGGAAACAGTTCTCTTCCTCAAAAGTCAGCTGCAAAGAAGAAATGCGAGAACAAGTCTCAAGGGCTCTAGAAGGTGCAGGCAAAAGCCTTTCCTTTCTGCAGTTCTGTGGAAGGAGAGTTCAAGGCTCTGAACCGGTTTCAGTTTTTGCCCCAGGAAGCACTGGGGAAGCTAATGTCTAAGTGTTCCATTTTCCACAGGGGGAAAATTCAATCTCCAGAAGAATCCAGAAGTGAGAATGTGTTTCCTTATCAGAGTTAAGATAAGAAAAGATCCTGCAGCATTTAATACTAATTACATCAATGCAGGGTAAGGGAGACTTCTTGTTCAAGCCTAGTTTTATGGCTTTCCCAAAGAAGTCTTGTCTTTACCAAAAGGAAGGTGCTTCCTGCCTGTCAAAGGTGAATCATACTACTATGATTCAGTCTCAAGTCCTTGGAGGCAGCAGTCATGATGTCCTAGTGCAGGCAAACTCGGCCCGCCAGGTGTTTTGGGACTACAACTCCCATCATCCCTAGGTAACAGGACCAGTGGTCAGGGATGATGGGACTTGTAGTCCCGAAACATCTGGAGGGCCGAGTTCGCCTATGCCTGTCCTAGTGGCTGTCTCATGTGCTGTGAAGGCAGCCATTCTAGGAACACAGGCTTCATCCAAGTTTCATACACTCTTCCAGACTGTCATGGGTGCTTCTGAGATCACATACTGCTCTTTGTACGCTGTTACACACTGGTAGGGCTCTAATCCTATCACAACAGCCTAAATTCACAATTGGGCTTCCTCTCTGGAGCACAAATTATCCCCCCCCCCGCCCAAGGTGCCCTCCACAATTAGCATCTAGCTGACTAGAATGGGTATCTAGATATTAGAAATATGAATAAAATGGGTTACCTTCCAGAAAACCTAGAGAAGTGTTCAAAAGTGGTAAGCATGTTGTTCTCTGGCCACGATCATGCAAAAGGATTTGTTGTAGGGAACCAGAAGTGAGCTATGGGGTTGTGTTTACTCTTACCCACACCTTTCTTCTGGCATATACCGTATTTTTCGCCCTATAGGATGCACTTTTTCCCCTCCAAAAATGAAGGGGAAATGTGTGTGCTTCCTATGGGGCGAATGCAGGCTTTCGCTGAAGCCTGGAGAGCGAGAGGGGTGGGTGCGCCCCGACCCCGCTCGCTCTCCAGGCTTCAGGAAGCTCTGCGCAACCCTCAGGAGACCGGCGCGACTTCACCCCGGTCTCCCGAGGGTTGCGCAGAGCTGCCTGCAGTCCCGGGCTTCGTGCAGCTCTGCTCAGCCCTAGGGAGCCCGGCGGGACTTCCCGCCAGGCTCCCTAGGCTTGCGGATAGCAGGCTGTTCTCAGGGCTGGGGTCGGGGGAAGCTCGGGCTTCCCCCGCGCCAGCCCCGCGCCTGGGGGGGAAATAAAAAAGTTTTTCTTTATCCCCCCCCAAAAAAAACTAGGTGCATCCTATGGGGCGGTGCGTCCTATGGGGCGAAAAATACAGTAGTTTACCCTTATCCTAGGAACCTACTTCATTGTTAAGGGTTGAACCAGCAACCTAGTTAGCTATAGCTAAGACTAGCAAAACTTAGTGCTCAACCAAGATGGGTGGAAGGGATTTTAGCTTCATAAAAGAAGGGAGGGAGCACATGTCCTAATCCCAAATTTGTCTAACCGTGGCTAAACAATCAGGAACATTCTGCAAACAGATATAAAAATAGGAACATCTCTCTGGAGGCATACTCAGCATTCTGCTGAAGTACAGGAGGGAATCATGACAGAGTCTCAGGTCAGGAACATTAGATATATTCCTGGAGGCTCTTCCATCGCTCATTTTGCTTGAAAATCTGAGAATCTAGGTCAAGTGTTGACATACATGAGAATCTATCTGGCATCCCCTGTTTACTGAAACTGCCAAGTGTGTGCTAAAGCACAGCACCCTATACAGTCATACCTTGGAAGTCAAATGAAATCTGTTCCAGAAGCCCGTTCGACTTCCAAAATGTTCGATTGATATCAATGATAAAAACATAATAAAAAACATACTGGCAGACAACCTGTTAATAAAATAACCTTCATAATAACAGTCATCTCCCCTCCTCCCGCACACACTTTCACTGGCCAGATTATTTAATAGCCATAGGCCTGGATTAAGAGGAATGTTTTTTCCTGGTGCCTAAAGACATGCAATGATGGTGCCACACAAGCCTTTCTGGGGAGAGCATTCCACAATTGGGGAGCCACCACGGAAAAGGCCTGTTCTCTGGTTGCCACCCTCTGAACCTCTCTGGCAGGGGTCAGCAAACCTTTTCAGCAGGGGGCCGGTCCACTGTCCCTCAGACCTTGGGGGGGCGGACTATATGTTGGAAGGGGGGGGAAGAATGAATTCCTATGCCCCACATATAATCCAGAGATGCATTTTTTTAAAAAGCACACATTCTACTCATGTAAAAACACCAGGCAGGCCCAACAAATAACCCAGAGATGCATTTTAAATGAAAGGACACATTCTATTCATGTAAAAATCATGCTGATTCCCAGACCGTCCGTGGGCCGGATTTAGAAGGTGATTGGCCCGGATCTGGCCCCCGGGCCTTAGTTTGCCTACCCATGTTCTCTGGGATGGGGGACATAGAGAAGGGCCTCAAATGACAATCACAGGATTTGGGTCAGTTCGTATGGGGAGAGGCGATCCTTAAGGTATTGAGCTCCTGAGCTGTATAAGGCTTTACAAGTCAACATAAGACCTCTAGTAGTGTAATGGGATCTGAAGACCTCCAACCTCCTCCTGTTTGACAAAAAATATCTGGCAGTAGTAACAGGACCACATAATGAGCAGGTACAGCAGTGTAAGCTGTCAAAATCATATGCACCAGAGTCTCAGACATCAGGAAGTATGTTTTCCATGACTCCTTGAAACTTACAAATGTTTTTCCTTGTTAGCTGAATTTTTCCCAGAGTTTATCTGAAGTTGACCCAAGCTCTAAAATAGCTGAGCAGTTAAATTTGTAAGGCATATATTTCCCCTTTTATTTCCTTCAAATTCTAAAATGCTGGGTTAATGTAAAAATAAAAAAGTTATTACCTGAAAACAATTGATTGGATCAAAATAATTGTGAGTGGGGAAAATAGGTGCTAGTGCTGTTCTGCAAATACTTGCATGGGAGTTTGTTCTGTGCTGTAATGGGCAGACACTATAGTAGCTCTCACAGTTATGCCTGTGAAGAAACTCCTGCAAAAGTGGAAATACATTTTTTATTAGTTTCACTTCATGCATCATTTTTTGCAAGGTGTAAAATGGCCTATCCTGCAACAGAAATGCCTGTTGCATAGAGCAGAGCATCCAATGGAATAACAATTAGTAGCAGCACAGAGGCAAGCTGGGAGCGGGAAGAGATCAGGGACGATAAATTCTTGCTGAATTCTGACCATGCTGTAAGCGTTACTGTTCCTGACAGTTTCCTTGGAAGCCGTCAGCTGTTCTGTCTTCTCTCGCCTCCTCTCAGGTCAAAATGTTTCTAAGTTGTTCTGTAACAGCACTTTGGGGTGGGACAGGCAACCTCATCTGGAGCCACTGCTTTCACAGTCTGTGACATCTCTGGGATCTTCAGAAGAGTAATGTATGCACCAGGGAGTCCCCGTATGGGACAGCTTCACATTCCTGCATTGAAGGGGTTGGACTAGATGATCTTCAGGGTCCCTTCCAACTCTACAATTCTATGATTCTCTGACTCATAGTAGTATCTGGCTGGGGGAGAAACTTAAGTGGAATCTTAAGTCACCCCTCTGCCATTTTCCAACCAGTTCCCCAGGGTTAATGTACACCAGTGCAGTACCCTGGCTAAAATCCCCAGGGCAACCAGGTGTGGTTAAATGCAGCAGTTCAGGATCTATCCATCAGGACACACCAGATTATTTCAACCAAAGAAGTTGGTTTGTTAATAAGACCATACAGAATATAAAATTTGAGTTAAGCAAACAAGGAAGTTGGGGCTAATTCTTAAGACATATCCTAACTAACAAATAGGCAGGTCGTTCTTCTCTTAGATGCTAGTCAGCTATTGAACTTAAAAGTTATTTGAAATTTCTACAGTTTAAATCCTGGCATTCCTAACTCCCTCTCTCCCTTAATAACTTAAGTGTCTTTTCTTCCTGACCATTTCCATAGCCTACTCACATAATGCTTCCGATGTTATTGCACCAGTGGATTCATATAGGTCAGCAGAATATTTGCTTGACTCACCTAAACTTCCTGAAGGTCAGCTATCCACATGGAGTCATCTCTCTCTCTCTCTCTCTCTCTCTCTCTCTCACACACACACACACACACAGAGAGAGAGAGAGAGAGAGAGAGAGAGAATATACATGCAAACACTGATATATGCTGACTTACATTGAAAAGAAACATGCATGCGAACTTGTGCTGGTCAGAAGTGATGGTGGCCTTGGCCCTCAGTCCCAGGGCTTGTAGGTATGCATTTCACGTGTACTGTAATGCATGCTACATAGTTGTATAAAATCACAATGGAACATTTCATTACGTCTAAATAATGAAAAGTGCATATTGTTTGAATTACTAACCATTCAAAACATTCAGTACAAGTCACTTGACACTAATTTTCCTGGTCAAATCATTTTTTGAAAGAAGTCTGCCTTGACAAGCAATTTAGTAAGTACCTTTGCAGAAAGAGCCAGGCTTGATGGGTCGTCGCATAAGCTACTTGACATTTGTCCCCAGTCAGACCTGATGCCACATGAAAAATTTACTCTGGTAAAGGGCTCCCAGGAATAAACAGTTCTCTAGTGTTGCTCACAAGGGAATCAGCAAGGTGAGCGGAACTTCAACTTGTCACGGATGCACTGTTCTGACAAACATAAGTAGATGCTAATGGCTAAATCGTGACAGAATAAAGTCCCACAACCATATGGCTAATTGCCACAACAATATCTTCAGTGTTATTAATCAAGTTTTCATAGTGTGCCGTGATAATTGGAATAATTAGAAGCAGCATAGACATTGCTTGCCTCTGCATGTCTCTCTCTCTCCCCCCCCTTTTCCTCTCCAGACAGGGACTTAGAAGAACCACAATTTCTGTACTGCATTATTTAATGCATATTTTCCAGCAAATACTGTAGTTAATGAATTAGCTGTTTATCATCCAAACTCTTTAGTGCCAGCAGGGTTTCTATAGGAATATGTAAGTAACTAAATGACTAAATGATACCATATTTTCCTGCCCAAAAATGTTAAATGTCCAACTAAGGTGCACCCCCAATCTCTACTAGCTATAGGCAATCTACTTTAGAAAAGTAAGAAAGTGTGTGTGTGTAAGTAAATAAGTGTGTAAACTGTGTTTCTATGTAAAAAATAAAAGTACTTCTAGTACAATCCTCCTTTGCCCTGTTAAAAAAGTAATAGGAATAACTTCAAATGCACAAAATTGTGTAGTTAAATTAGCACATTGTAATACCGTCTATATAAAAGACTGTTTTAAGGTTCTCTAATTTCTTCCTAACAAATTTAAAATCCTCACCCAACCTATTTTTAGCGCTGCCAAAAACTACATCTCAAAAAGGTGTACTATGAGATTTCAAGAAGCCCAAAATTATTCTTTACCTCTGACCTAGGGAAGTAAATAAAGCTGCAATTTAGCACTTTTTGCTTAGCAGAGTATTTAAATCATTATCTTTGTACATTTCAGACTGGACTAGCTGTTTACTGAGCTCTCTCTGGAACTGTGTTAGCAATGAGAAAACACCCAGTATTTCCTGGGTACATGCATAAACAATTAGTCAACTGGTCGGTATAACTGGAAGATTGATGATAATGACTCTCTTCATGAATGTATGAAGGCATTTAGCCAAACTAATGGATTGAAATGGACTGCTGTCTATGGCCTTTGAAGGGCAGCTTAATTTAGTTTTAGAGCTTACCATAGGCATAAGATGAAATACTGTGATGACATAAATCTCTCCTATTTCTTCTTTCTGAAATGTTAGCTTTTCCTCAGTTGCGAATTTGCAGAACAAATATCTTTTGAAATGTTCTGTGCTTCATTATAAAGTGGCCTGAACTACCCAAGTCATAACCTGGTTTTGATTGAAGTTCATCAGCTGTTCATCTACAGGGCTCAACTGGAGCTTAATAAAATAGTTGTGCTAGACTGGAAATAATCCTTCCCATAGTGAATGTTGTGGGTCCACAGGAAAGGCCCATCATGTATAGCTGGGAATGTGAGAACAAGGCAGAACATCAAGAATACTGGTCCTTTATGCAGCTTCCTTCATTCTCTGTGCCTATTCCCAAGCAGTAGAGCTGTCAAGACCAGTCCTCTTGGTCCATACCCTATTAGCACAGAACTCTTTGCAATAGGCATCAAGACCAAGCAGAAGAGTGGTTTATGTGTCCCTACACCTTCCTGGGAAAAGGGCAAGAGCTTTTCTGGGCCGCGCCCTGTTCCTCCAGACCAGCCAAGATTTACAGGATTGATCCCTCTAAGACTGAAAAAATAACTTCATTTCTGCTCCTTTTCTGAACATGACTCCTGCAGGATTTTGGAAATAGGTTTTTGGAAACATATTACTAGCTCCTGCATTCTGCCTTCACAAAAGGAAGGAGGAACATGGCTCCAGCTGTGAAAACCTGGTTTGGACACTTAATAGTTAATGAACAGGTTGTGCCCCCACCATAGCGATGTACTCAAGTGCAGGCTGTTTTACTTTTCCCTGTTGAAGTGAATGGCAGCCGTTAATTTGTATGATAGAAAATGAAGAGAGAAACGGGTAAAATATTGGGGTGGCAGATAAATTTTTCCGCTTCTCCCAACAATCGAGAAGCAGTCTCCATCCTTGATTAGGATATAGTGATCTGCAGAGGCAAATCTATAGCTGAAACATCTTACATTCTCTGTTAAAACCATAACTATTCAATACAATTTTCCTTATCGGAGCTGATTTAGTTGCATAAGAAGCTGACTTATCTGAGTTAAACTATTGGTCCATAAATTGTCAGCAGTGGCTCTCTAGGATTTCAGATGGGGGTCTCTCCTAGCCCTACCTTGAGATACCATTGATTGAAATTGGGACTTTCTGCATGTAAAGCAGATGTTGTACCATTAAGCTATGACCCTTTCCCAAATCACTGCTAAATCTGGTTAGGTGAGGAGTACACCCATTCCTATGAAGAGCTTGAAGAAAGAATGATAGAAAGGTTTGTTTTCCCCCTCCACTAAACTCACCCTTTTTGGTGCTTCTGTTGAAAATAATAGCAAACATGGGACAAGGAAACTGAAAAGAGAGAATCAAAAAAAGGCACATTGGGTTTAGGGTGGGAGACTAGAAAAAAAGCTTGATTACCAAAACAAGACACTTGCAGCTTTTTTAATGTATCTGTTCTGCATACCTACTACAGTATCAAGGTAAGATTGCATGTTTTAATTATTTGAGTTACAGCAGGACGTTTGCAGCTAGATAATTCTTAAGAGTGTGTTCTCAGGTGTAAAAGAAAACCAGATTTTGGAATCGGTACACAATGGATCGAAAAAAGGACCTGTGGAAGTTGGTGCTGCTTATAGGAAATTGGAATTATTTTTGGAAAAACTGGGATTGATGAGAGGAGTTGTAACCCCAAAAAGCATGGAAATGGTTAGTTATGATACCACAAAGCTGATAAATAAAGGTTGAGGGGCGGGGAAGGTAGGCGTCAACCAGACATTTTTGAAAGTGTATTATGGTACACAACCAGACAGTGTGGGGCTGTTCTTGGAGAAGAAGACTGAAAATGGGTGATGTGTGTAAATGGACAGCACTGCAGTAATCAAAGATTTTTTTTGGGGGGATCATGTATTTGGAACATAGCTGCTGGGGGGTTATACTGGGGGACACCATGGGTGCATGCTGTATTTTCAGCTACAAAATAAACAGTTGGAGTTAAAGAATGTAAGACAGGTAGGCGTGGAGAGTATATTTGAAAGAGAGAGAGAGATGTTGATTATCGGGTGGGATCCAGGCGACCTCTTAAAGTGCTTTATAATAATACTAAAACAAACCATTAATTAAAACAAGTTATATGAACGCTCCCTCCCAAATACGGTATTATAACTTACAATTTGTGCAGTTTTGTTTCTTAGGTGTTGGGCTTTGGGGCTTTGTCTTAAATTTGTATGTAAGTCACTTTGAATTTATTGTATAATGAAAAGCACAGTATAAATGTTTAAGAATGTATAAATGTTGTGAACCACCCTGGGATATTCAGATGAAGGACAATAAACAAATTTCAACCACCATCACAGTAAAGCCCAGATATAACTAAAACATACTAAAAAATTCAGTAGCAAAACTGAGAGGTAAGTGTTGCATACTCATCAGCAAGTTTTAGAAGATATGCATGGCCAAAAATGTATGTATGTATGTGTCAGGGGTTCAGGGAGAGAGGCACAGGGTAGGCAGGAGATGGAGAGCGATGGGGATGAATTCCAAGCCAGCGAGGAAGAGGATGACAATGACTCAAGAGATTCCATGAGTCTTTCCAGCGAATCAGAGGATTCCCAGAAGGGGGCGCCGGTGGTCAAGGCCAGGGAAGCCCCAGGGGGGACGTGTCAGGAGCAGGGGGCTAGCGGAGGATCCCAAAGTGGCAGCTGGGCGTCAGGACCAGCCTCCCCACCAGAGTGCAGCGAAGGGGGTGGAGTTTCCAGTGTGCCAGGGAAGCAGCTCCGGCAGCAGAGAAAGGAGGGAGGTCAGAGCAAGCCGCCCTCCCGGAAGGGGAGGGGAGCAGTGAAGGGAGTAGTGTAACTGTCAAAAGGAAAGTTAGAGGTTTGGGGCGCGCGCCAAGTTCAAATGTAGAGGCGCGCGGAAGTACAGGGAGCCCGGAGGAGGGGCCAGGTCCCAAAACCCGCAGGAGGGGGGAAGAGCAGTCTGATTCCGCGTCAGAGGAATCCAGGAGGGGCGAAACCCCAGCGGGCAGAAGGACCCTGCGGAAAAGGAAGGAGAGAAAGAGGTGGAGCAGCGCAAGCCTCTTAAATTGGTGCAGGGGAGGGACGGATTCAGAGGGGACTTCAGCGGTCTAAGCGTAGCAGACGTAAGGCTGCGCGCCTAGGATGTCAAGCAAACAATGAACTGCAATAAACACTTTTGTATATAAGAAGACATAGGCGTTGGTCTTTTGTGAGCTGAGACTTGAGGCAGCCTTGACAGTATGTATATACTGCTGCTTGGGGAGTGAGAGTTGGATGTGTGATGGTAAGGTAGAAGCATATGTCAGGTTGGACGAAGCTCAGCCAGGGTGGGAGAGCTATATTATACATATATGGGTGTGGACAGTAACAGGAAGGGATATTGAGTTAAACGTAGGGTGTCAGCTATGGGTGAAAT